AACTGTTCATATATATGTAAATATCATTTGCTTTAAAATGGACTTTACAGATAATATCATTAGTACATTAATACTGTACAATTGTTTTGAATGTAATAGAAATTATTTCTAGTACAAGTCATGAATCATTCAAATGTCAAATTATCAAAAACGTTTTAGGTAACAAACTTAAAAACAAACTCACAAATTAAAGATTAAAGCCATGGCGTTAAAATTATAGTTCAAAACTTTCAGACAAAACCAATTTGAATATTCATTAGGTATGTAGACAGCAAAGTAAAATTTAATGTTTTGAAATTGCTTTTTTTTTTTTTTTTTTCTAAGTGGCAAATATGTCATGATAAACTTAAATGATAGGAAACCCTCAGATTTACAAGATAAAGATGTTATGACATTTGTTCTATGCCTACAGCAAAATTTTTGCACAAACAGAGTGAGTCAAATTGATGTCAATTATATTACCATAAAAGCAGTGATGACGCAATATTTTTGAGGACTAAGTATACTAACTACATTTAAGATTAGAAGGGTCCAGTTATAAAGTTTGTGAAAATCTTGAATTTGTGGTCTATTCACCATATTTGATAAATCTTAGTGCAAACGTGGGTTGGTCCAATTATCAAGTTTTTGAAAATCTAGAAATTGTGGTTTGAAAAATAAAACTTAGTAGAATCATGGGATTCTCCTGTTTTAAAGTTTGTGAACATCTTGCAATTGTGGCTTTATAACCATATTTGACAAAAACTTAGTGCAACCGTGGGTTGGTCCAATAATAAAGATTCCGAAAAACTACAAATTGTGGTTCAACCAGCATATTTGATAAAATTAAGTGCAATCGTGGGTTGGTTCAATCTTATTTCTTTGACAATCTAGAAATAGTGGTTTAATCACCATGTTTGATAAAACTTAGTGCAACCGTCGGCTATCCAATTATAAAGTTTTTGAAAATCAAGAATTGTGGTTGAACAAACATATTTGATAAGCACTTTCACTAGTATAAAGAACTGTTATTGAAACTGATGTATAAATGTTTCATAAGAAGATCTAAATTGTTTGCCCGTTCCATATTGTAGATGTTCCTTTATTTAGTTGTTAAAGTTTTAAATTGTTCAACTTTACTAAAACAATTGATAAATGGAATGTAATGCCATATACATAGATAATTAAGGTATTATTAAAACATGTTTTAGATTCAAAAAATGGGCGGGTAATATTTTTATCAGCACTTTTAAAAGAACTATCGTATCCAATCGACATTTACTAAGTTGAAGATTTGGCAGCACAGGAAGCTAGAAATAAGAATTTGATATATTGTATATGACTCGAAAAGCCATATAAGATAACAATTTTTATTATGATTTTCAGAGTCTATGTCGTTATGACACTTATGTTTCAAGTAATAGATATTTGATTTTTGTTATCGTATATATTAAATAGGCAGTATGTCCATCAAAAGAGAGCTTTTTCAATGGATTTCAAATTTTGACTCCAGCACATAAGTGTTAAAAAGAGAAGACAAAATTTAAAGAATTGACAAAGCGTTTGTGTGCAATAAATGGTCGCGACCAAAATACAGCAATGTTTCTCAATGGTTTAAGTTGCTGACTTCAAATTCCTAGTGGGTTCGAATCCCGTAAGAGTCTTTTGATGTTTTTTTATGTGAATAAGCTGTCTAGCTAGCATACGAAGGTTAACTCAACTCGGGTATCCGTTCGTGTTTGAAACTATGCACGATGTAGTAGTATGGGGGGGGGGGGGTTCCACCTCCAGTAAAGATGGATAGTCGCCATATGATACAGAAAAGGTGCGACTTAAAACCCAATACATAAAAGTTCATTTGAAAACAAACTTTACACTAATCTTTTAAGTTATTTTCTATTGATCTAGTGAGTTTCATATAAAAAGACCCTGACTGAACTAACTTGAGTTTATCAAATCTAATAGAAACTTTGGTCGTAAGTTGCACATATTTGAAATATTTGTAAAGTTGGATATCTCCTTTTCTTATTCAATATCCATTAATTATGTTTGATATTTATTGAGAGAGAAAATTATTAACTAGATCTTTAAACTAGACAATAATTACACGTATAAAGGAAATTATGGAAGTAATGAATTAATTTCATCAAAGCTTTGAGAAAAGAAAGCATTGTAATCACGCAAAGTAATGCAGCGGACATCTTCTAACGTGCTAATGAATTGAATGATGAAGTTTATATTTAACAGTACAAAGTAAAACGACACATAATCTATACATACTTAGTACAAATCAATGATAACATTAATTTACAAGCACCGCGCCAAAGTTTCCCTTTCTATTCAAAGTATACAGTAATATCAATAGTAATGCAAAAGTAGTATTTGTCATTTAAACTCATTTTGTTAAGTTATAAATTATATGCGAAATTTGGAGAAAATGCAAAAACAATTTGATATATTTCATGTTATTTTTATAACCATTGCAAAAACATGATGTAAGATATGCAACTTATATATAAAACATAATTATATATCGCAAATTACAAGTTCAAAGTTAGGTGTTTCTTATACTTACAGCGTATTTTATCTTTTGATTTTTGGTCGCTGATATTTTCGTTTCTGGCTTCATGGCTGTTGATATTTTCACTGCCGCTTCTTGACCGCTGCTGTTTTCGCTGTAGGCTTTCTCGACTTTGGTGCTTTTGCTGAAAGTTTTTAGGCCGCTGCTGTTTTCGCTGCCAGCTTCTAGGCTGCTGGCGTTATTGCTGTAGGCTTCTTGGCCGCTGGTGTTTGGCTTACTGGTTCTTGCAATTGGCCACTGGTGTTTTCGTCATCGTTTCACTTCTAGGCGGTTTCTCACCTTAGGCTGCAGTTTCACGTTTAGCTTCGACAACACAACTTCCGGCACGTTAACGACACAGCTCTTGCTTCTTAGCTGCATTACGCCTAATTATCAAATTGATTGAGGCGATTCATTTAATTAACACAAGACACGACGCAGAGTGCATAAAGTGCTTTTTACTGCTTTTCAATGGTCGTTTAATGAAACAGACGTGCGTTAAGCAAACAAGTTGGATATAATAATGATTGTCTAGTACGTATGTCGCAATTTGTTGCACTAATTTGAACGTTTCTCATGCATCATTATAGAAATTGCCTAACACCTATGTTTTTGGTACATAGTGTTTCTGACTTTTCATGATTTTAACTAGAGGGCCATTATAATATTTTATACGATTAATGCTTAAAAATATTCCTATTATTTTATGATATCATTTTTTAATCATATAATACAGGGATACAGGTGACTTGTGCTTCAAAGGTTGTTTGAATTCTCTTATAAATAAAAAACACTATGTAGTATGTTTAATTATATCAGCATATCATAACATTTGTTTATGACGTATGTTTAATTATATCGGCATATCATTACATTAGGAAAGTTAAATGTCGGTCGTAAATTTGAAATGCGAGCAGGAGACTTAACTTTGCCATGATTGTCTTGTAAGTTTCTCTTTTTAGAGTTTTATTCAATTTGATGATTTTCTGAATAATGCATACAGTCTTTTGCCACTGGAATATTTCTCGTTCATCCTATTTTTGTCATTCAAGTTCTCAAACAGATAGGTGTTACCAAATGATTTTTTTGTAACATTTATGAGAAACAAATGTTTCTTAATGATATGCCGTGCTACTTGTTATACCTATTTTCAGAAATAACAAACTGGTATATACATAGCCAGGACAGCTGCGTTTATCCGGCGTCAAATCATTTTTTTTTCTACAAATGATTATTTTAAAGGAAAATATGAAGTTTCTAAATATATCAAACTATTTATGCATACAATAAGAAGACGCATAGAAATATCTTAAACTGGTATCCGTAAAAATTGCTTATTCAAGATTAAATTGCTAAATAAATCAGACACCTCATTTCATATTTTGAAAAAAAAACTTGTTCATGAAATATATCGCAATTTTATCATTGCTTTGCTGACTGGCTATGTATGTTTTTGGTGACAGTATAGCTAATTTAAAAGCTAAAATATCTATTGAAGCTCGATTTTAAAAACAACCTTCCTGCAACCTATATTGATTAATACGAGAAAATTAAGAAAAACCTAAAACGTCTCTCTCTTTTTTTTTCATTCAAATTAATTTATAATAATTGGGAGAGAAAAAAAGGAGATAAAAACATCCTAACTTGACAATTATCTAAAAAAAAATCTCTCAAGTTCAATATCCGGTAGTTGACAACATTGTCCAATGAGACATTTTCCAGTTCTCGCCATCGATAAAATTACCAGAAAAAAATGCGCAAGTTGTTCCCACATCAATTAATAATACCAGGAAGTTGGAATCAATGTGACGTTTTGAAGATATTACTCCGCAAATGGATATATCGCCCGTGACATTTGTGTTATATTTGAGCGTTTGTTGTTTACGATCATTAAATTGTTGTTGTTGTAGTTTTTGTGTTGGTTTTTTCCTAATATTTTGAGGGAAAGTTCGATAGAATATACATGCAAATGTAAGTTGGTTTTCTTTTCATGGTTCAAGAATGTTTTGTATTGACTGTACACTGGTAAACATTTAAAGTTGTGTTTGAAGAAATTGCCATGCAATGAAATTCGTAAAAAGTGGTTTTATTGTCGGACAAATTGTAACGATTTCGGTCCTGAAAATGTTACAGTATTATTAAATGAAATTCTTTGATTTATAGCTTTTTTCAATATTTGATTGTCTTACTAGAACGCTTTGTCGGTATTTTGAGTACATTTTGGACAGGTGTTGTTACATTTGTATTTATTTATTTATTTATTTATTTATTAGGATTATTTTATTTACTTAAAATATAAAACTATACAATAAACGTCTATAAACACAGAAAGTCGGTCACATAATGTTGTTTTAATTGTTTCATCGTTTGTTTTGTCATGCAGTGCAGCTGTGTTCAAAAATCGATTCAAGTTACTTTTGGTTAAGTTTTAAACGAATTCAATTACAAAAGGTGTGTTGGAAGAAATCGTTAACCACAAATGTTTTCAGTGCTGGAATTAAATTTGAAATTAGATTATAAGGTGAAGAGACAGTTTAAACAGAGATTAAGTGAATTAAACAAACATGTTGATCTGGAAATAGAGGAGGAGGATTGATTTTGTCCGGTTTTCGGTAAGGAAAATTAAATTTCATTATTATAATATTGTGCATAAAACAACTTACTTAAGATAAAAAAGCACGCTTGAAATGAGAATAGTCTGTGTATGCATTTTTGTACGATATTTCATGGTATTTAAGGGTGTGTGGGCATCCATATATGTAGTGACATAATAAGCACACTGAAGGCTGAAGGCCCCGGGAAAGTCATTACAAAACATATTATTGACAAGTGATGCAGTAACAAATATGTTTTATTCATCATGCTTCTAAATATAAAAGGAAAGGATATTCCAAAGAGGAAACAAAATATGCTCATGATCATTTGAGCCGTGTCATGACAAAACCAACATAATGGGTTTGCGACCAGCATGGATCCAGACCAGCCTGCGCATCCGCGCAGTCTGATCAGGATCCATGCTGTTCGCTTACCAACTCTTTTACAAGTAGAGAAACAGATAGCGAACAGCATGGATCCTGATCAGACTGCGCGGATGCGCAGGCTGGTCTGGATCCATGCTGGTCGCAAACCCATTATGTTGGTTTTGTCGTGACGCGGCTCATTTGCTTTTAATCACGCAATTATGACATCATACGGCGTGTCGACATTTTACGTATGGAGAAAAAGAATGGTAGTTTATGTTTAATTAGTTTAAAGTATGATAAGTATGATAATGGTAAAGAATAAACTTTAAGTCAATGTTTTATAGGTAACAAACTATTCGTTTAAACAACCTGTTTGTACATTTCAACAGAATATCGATCTTTTTACATGTATTTAGATTGAAATAAAAATAGCGTTAATTTCAATCCTTGAAACCGTAAAGCCGTAAAATAATTTCTTATTGTCAACCATCTCATGTGTCATTTTCCACAACAGCTTGCTCTTAAAATAAACTATCATCCTGTTGATTTGTTTTATGGCAATATTTTATCTGGTTGACGTGACAATTCTTAATGAAGTGGATGACGCCATCATTCTCGTGATAATTTGGGAAAATGCGTTAGAAATAATTTCTGGTAAAACTGATGGAACTGGAAATAATTTTCGAGATTAATGTTTTATTTGATGGAGGTCTAGACCAATAACTTGTCCGCAAACTTTCAGGTCATTTGCTCACTCCGTTTTTCAAGAATAATTATTCTAATATGAAAAAAGACCCAAAATGGAAAAGCATTGCAACTTTCTCTGGTTACAAATAGCACAAAAGTACGATTTTCAAATTATTTTCCGAGTTGTATTTCTTTGTTATCTTTTTCATATTTTCCTGTTTATAGTGTACCAGTTTGCTATGTTAACATTTCTAATTCATTGTTTTAAGTATTTTCAACCCTCTGTATAGTTATGTTATATATTACAAAATAAAACCATTTATTATGTACCTACTCGTATAAATGAAATATTGGGGAATATTGATGAAATAAAATGCATATTTTCATTTTCCGTATTTTCACTGTAAAACAATATTTTTCACTGCAGTGAAACATTTTTCCGTATTTTCACTGATGTCTTGCCGGACTACTTTATTCTAAATTCAGCCAATACACAGAAGTTAAGGGAAAGTATTGTCTTAATTAAATTGTAATGTCAAAAAAGAGAAAATTGTATATAATAAACGGAAAATTTATTTTTTCTTTTAAAACAGGATTTGTTTTTATTTTGTGGTATTAAAATTATCATATTTCACTTGTGGCAACGCAACTCATGATTTTTTTCTTCATACCACTCGATATGAAACTAAAACCTGTATTTTATAGAAAAAAATGAATATCCTCTTTTTTTGTAAATCAGAATATTCCTGAAAATGCACGTGAATGACATAAACATCAAGAGTTGGACCGACGTATGTACCATAACTTTAAACCTTTCCTTTTGAAGTTAAGTTTTAAAAATGAAGATAATAATCATAAGCTAACTGAATCATGCAAAAGAAACTGTAGCCATAAAAGGTTTGTTACAAATTAAACAAATTAAACACCTGAACACATATGTGAAGGGCTCGTTTCAACAAACAATAAAAATTTAATCATAGTTACAAAAACAGAGAATGCCTGCAAACATTGGTTAAATTAACCAATGGACAGCTTATCCACAAGTTAAAACCTTCTCCAGCGGCAATCTTTCAATTGGATGAAATTACATTGCTCGACAGCTGGATAGTGCTGTGGCTACTTGATGTGTAAAAAAATGTTTTTCTTTCTTCTTATCTTCCTATCATTTTCTTCTTTTTTATCAATACTGTTGCTGGCTTATGGTCTTTTTGATTCATCTTATTTATTTATTTATTTATTTATTTATTTATTTATCTATTTATTTATTTATTTATTTATTCATTCATTCATTCATTCATTCATTCATTCATTTATTTTGTTGTTTTTGTTGTTGTTGTTGTTGTTGTTGTTGTTGTTGTTGTTGTGTTTGTGCGGGAGTGGGTACATTGGGGCAGTGTAACGCAGCATACGGTTAACAAGATGGGAATTTTCCACGCGACATTGAAACTGTTCATAAAAGTTGTTAAAGCTATTAAGAGTAGATAAATTTGTTAATTTTGTTAAATTGTACGAAGCTCGAAACCAGTATGTACGCTCTTAAAGTACGAAATCATTAGCTCTATTGTTCAGGAAGGAGTCTATCACGAAAAAAAATAAATAAAATTTAAAATGACAACAACATTCTATTACCCGGCTGAACGGCGATTCTTAGCATTTTTTTTTTTTTTTTTTTTTTTTTTTTTTTTTTTTTTTTTTTTTTTTTTTTTTTTTTGGAAATGCTTAAAGTCTGAAATAATGTTATCTTGATAAATAACTATAAAATCACAAACTGAACATCTTTTGCTTGCACGAAAGAGAATTTTCCAATACTCGCCACGGTTAATTTCTAGATGAAGACAAAAGAGGAGAAGATGTTATCGCAGCATGGCGTAATTAATCTGATGTGGGAACTTGAAGAAATGTGACAGGAAAGAGGATTTCAGAACAAGCGGGAAAAATCTCTCGCGACATCCATGCTGGATGTATCTGTTTTGGTTTAAGTTTCTGTTTTTCTGTTGTTGATGTTTCTTCCTTTACTGATGTGCATGACAAGCAGAATTTAGATAGTGTTATTGGACTATAAATAAGGAATTTTTTCTGTAAAAAAATGTTTAAATTGATTGATTGATTGATTGATTGATTGATTGATTGGTTGATTGGTGATAATATAAGGATTTTCACTGTTATAACAAGACGATGTAAAAATAAATTTGCTTATAAATGTGTAAACATAACAGTTTAAGTTCTGGAACAAAAACACAAGTTAACAAAATAGAGAATTTGTAGCGATTGAAAGTGACAAAACTCCTATAACCGTCAACGTGTGAATTGTGAAAGTGGTGATTTTATTAATTCTTTTAAATGATACTTGTTCAAGGAGGAGGAACTATTTGTGTTTATTTTATTTTTATTTATTTATTTCAAAATATGCTCTGAAACATTTGGAACGATTTGTGTTTAGTTTGTTTTAGTTCTGAAATAATTGGATAGCAGGTAAAGGATTTCAGAGCTATACATACTTTGTTTTTGTTCATTTTATTTTATTTTATTTTATTTATTAATTTTATCTATTTTATCTATTTTATTTATTTATTTTTATTTTTTTTTTATTTATTTTCTTATCTTTATCATCGTCGTCGGCGTCGTCATCATTATCGTTATCATCATTATTATCATTGTTATCATCATAATCATCATCATCTTTTTCTACATTATATTCATTGTCATTTTCTCCATCATTCATTATAACATACCATACCATAGCATCATCTTTTCCGTCATCATCATCATCATCATCATCATCATTACTGTCGCTGTGGTCGTTGCCATCATCATTATCGCTTACAATTATGATTTCTTTATTTTATTACCGTTGTCCCTCACTGAGTGATGGGCTTAACAAAAAAATGGTTCGTTAAAACCAGCTTTTGGGTAAATGACAAATGAATGCCTCGTTAACATACCATTCTCAAGCTTTGATATAATATGATATCTGATAAGATATGATCAATGATATGATATATGAAGTGATATATGATATGATCAATGGTATTTGATATGATATATGATATGATATATGATATGATCAATGGTATTTGATATGATATATTATATGATATGATATAAATCATTTATTTTTTTGTTGTCTTACACTATATGTCACTACTCGGTGTTCTTTGCTTGAATATATAACAAAAGGACGCTGTAATGTTCTATATAATGTTTCTCTGCATACAAGCTGAATTACCGTTTGCGTCGTAACCAATTTTCTTATCATTCATACATCTACCAATCCCTTGATAAATCTTTCTTTCTTTTCTGCATTTTACGTCGATTAAATTACATATCTCGGAAAGAATATAATTTACCATCTTACAGCTGAGTTTCACTGGTAACTTAGACCGCAAAAAAGAACGTAGGCGTATGTAAATTGGAAATATGATCTCATTTATGATGTATGATTTATATAAAAAGAACATCTCTAGATTATCAGAGAGCTGCGACAATATGATGATTTAGATCGTCTATGGAAATATTAGAGTCTTTATTTTCCTACAAACTGTTTGCGCCTTGTTTTAGTAGGTAACATAAAAAATTATTCATTTCAATCCCCTTATTATTATATATGTATTTAGAACAATACAGATATAATATGAAAGTTTAAACAATGTATGTGCATAGTTAACAATGCTATAGATTGGATTGGACGAATAGTTCTTCACTTTATGCCCATTTTTTCCACCCACTGCCCCCGTTTTTTTGTTTCGTTTTTTTTTTTGTTTTTTTTTTTTAATGAATACTCAAATATTTATGACCTTGGGAACATTTTAATCCTAATTATAATGCAGAAGCAAATATTTTACAAAGAAAATACGTTTTTTATTCTGTAATTATCAGTATTTGACATAGTAAACATAATGGGTCTAAATGATTGATATATGTACCTAGTTAGAAATACAGGTTAAATTGTTCATATACGTATATTGTATTTCAACCATCAATAAATTCAAAGAAAGAAACATTATTTGTGATTTGTTTACGTAACATACATTTCTAAGAAAAATACAGTATATTACATATTAATATTATGTTAATAGTATAACAAATAAACGTTCAGGTTAATCACAAGGGCACTGTGACAATGATAATTATAATATCAACAGTTTTGAGAAAGATTGTGATATAAAATCTGTTTGCAGCTGCAACAATATGTTAACATATGATAACATCAGTTGAGCTGATTTACTACACTCAATCAGATTCTCTTGCGCCAGATGTTTTAATGTTTATTTTCCTATTTCAGTTACCACTTAAAGAAAGGACAGCGTTCTAAGCAAACACACATGCTGTTATGAATATAACAAACATATTCCGAGTAAGTTATTATGACTTCCGGGCATAGAATTAATTGCATGTCGGATATCACCTAATTGAGAGTGGAATTTATGTTTGTTTACGTAATTAATCGAACATGTTGTTGACAAAATAATGAATACCTCAAGGGATGTAAAAGCAGCAAAATAACAAATTGTTTTCTGGCCTTTAATACCAGTTTATAAGGAAGATATGTCGTGTTCTCAGTGTGACAAATGCAGACTGGCTATCTGCGATCCAGGACGATATGGAATAAATTGTAACGAAACTTGTAACCCCAACTGTCGTGCGGTTCCCTGCTCATCTTGCGCATGCGCAGTGTGTGACAAACTTTCCGGAAACTGTACTAACGGATGTGATTCGGGATGGTTCGGTGCTAAATGTGAGACAATATGTCCAGAGAGTTGTGTTGATACCGGCGGACTTGCGGATGTGTGTGCTCGCGGGACAGGAAACTGTTTATTCGGATGTAAGAAAGGTTACTATGGTGATATGTGTAATACCACGTGCCCTGTAGAATGCACGGATTTATTGTGTGAGAAACCAAACGGGACTTGTATCAATGGATGTATTGACGGCTACAGTGGCGACATTTGCGGCGCTCCGTGTAAGTGTTCAAAATTTTAAAGACACATAAAGCCGCATATACGAATAAATTTCTGCTTCCTTAGAAAGTGCAAGAATGAGTTTTAGAACGTTTAATTTATACTTTTAGGGCATTTTATATGCTTGTTACTTGAATGGAGTACCGCTAAATGTGAAAATAGTTTTGCCATAAAAGTGGCAAAATGTAAACAAAGTAGTATTTTTACTTCCATACAAAATACTAAATCATTTTCACTGTACTAATTGACAAAATAACATTCGAAAAAAACGATGTTTAAGGTTTTTGAAAAATAAATAACTTTTTGAAATCTATAAAAGTACATCAAAGATAAAAAAAAATCTTTTGAAAAATTAAATAAAAGAATTTCTTGGGCATGATATGTGCCTTTAAATGCATAATCATATTATTTTCGATACCTTCAAACTATATAATACAATAACGTAGAATCATATTTTTTTTTTTAAAAAAATCAAACATATTTCAGCAAATATAGTAATCATTTCATAATTATTATTTTTAAAGGTACATTATGCCTCAATAAGGAATTTAGAGTTCTTTTATGAAGGGCAAATGTTGTATTTGTTACTGTAAAATACGGTTTAAATACTTGTTAGATTCTTATTACCTGAAGAAAGTAGTGCTGAATGTGAAAATACAAGCAAAATGTAAACAAAGTAGTACATGTATTTTCCATACAAAATACTTAATCGGTATGCTTGTTCTAATTGCCAAAAAAGCAACAGATGCAAACGTTAATTCAAGTAATTGGCCAGGGAGTAACTTTGTTTTTGAAACAAAAATGGGACGTCAGGAATAAAATACTTTTGAGAAATAAAAATAAATGCATAATGGGCCTTTAATTGAAAGGGTTGGGCAACATGTAATACTTACATCAGAGTGTTAGCCAATCCAATTATTTACAGTAAAATTTTACTAAATGAGCCTTTTTTTAGGGACGGGGGTATTTGAATGTAAAAAATCATTATAATGAGGTGTATAAAGCACGACAAAGAAAATAATTCCTAATATGTGCTGCCACTAGACAAAAGATTGATATAGTCCATGTCCGTCGGTCCCTCCCTCTGTTCGTAGTGCAACCTGTCAATCTGGAAATTGTAAAAGAAAAAGTGTTGTTTTTTTAAGAAAATGCTAGTTCTTCTTTCCCGAAATCAATGGTTTTCTCTCGCAAAAAACAACAAAACAACAACAAACAAGTAAGTGGTCATTTAAACCGTTTGACAAGTAGTTATATTGCTAATTATATAACTCTTATTATATTACTCTATTTTATTAATGTTTCTATAATACAATGTATAATGTAAATTCATTTTTCATTGATACGCTTTGTCCCTTTAAATACTGTCTATAAAGAAAGCGGGTTGAACCGTCGTTTGCACACTTCAAAAAATCATAACAGTACTGTGTGAATAAAAAAATGTAAAAATTTATTGACCGTCAAAAAGATGAAAAAAATCTATTTATTCCCATTTCGTTTATTTCTAGTACTTTCAGGATGTTATTCCAGTACTTTTAGTAGTTATTCTAGTACTTTCAGTAGTAATTCTACTATTTTCAGTAGTTATTCTAGTACTTTCGGTAGTTATTCTAGTATTTTGGTAGTTATTCTAGGACTTTCGGTAGTTATTCTAGCACTTTCGGTAGCTATTCTAGTACTTTCGGTAGTTATTCTAGTACTTTCAGTAGTTATTCTAGTACTTTCAGTAGTTATTCTAGTACTTTCAGTAGTTATTCTAGTACTTTCAGTAGTTATTCTAGTACTTTCAGTAGTTATTCTAGTACTTTCAGTAGTTATTCTAGTACTTTCAGTAGTTATTCTAGTACTTTCAGTAGTTATTCTAGTATTTTCGGTAGTTATTCTAGTACTTTCGGTAGTTATTCTAGTATTTTCGGTAGTTATTCTAGGACTTTCGGTAGCTATTCTAGTACTTTCGGTATCTATTCTAGTACTTTTGGTACTTATTCTAGTACCAGTATTTTCGGTAGTTATTCTAGTCATTTCAGTGATTATTCTAGAACTTTCGGTGCTTATTCTTGTACTTTTAGTAGTTATTCTAGTACTTTCGGTAGTTATTCTGGTACTTTCGGTAATTATGAGACTAGAATTTTCAGTAGTTATTCTAGTACTTTAAGTGATTCTTCTAGTACTTTCGGTAGCTATTCCAGTACTTTCAGTGGTTATTCTATTACTTTCGGTAGTTATTCTAGTACTTTTGGTAGATATTCTAGTACTTTCCGTGATTATTCTAGTACTTTCGGTAGTTATTCCAGTACTTTCAGTGATTATTCTAGTACTTTCAGTAGTTATTCTAGTACTTTTGGTAGTTATTCCAGTACTTTCAGTGATTATTCTAGTACTTTCAGTAGTTTTTATTGTGCTGTCCGTAGTAATTCTAGTACTTTCAGTGATTATTTTCTAGTATTTTCGGTAGCTATTCCAGTACTTTCAATGGTTAATCTAGTACTTATGGTAGTTATTCTAGTACTTTTGGTAGTTATTTTAGTAATAGTACTTTCAGTGATTATTCTAGCACTTTCGGTAGCTATTCTAGTACTTTTGGTAGCAATTCTAGTACTTCCTGTGATTATTCTAGTAGTTTCGGTAGTTATTCTAGTACTTTCAATAGTTATTCTAGTACTTTCAGTAGTTATTCTAGTACTTTCAGTGATTATTCTATTGTATTTTCTTTTCGTTTATTTCTAGTACTTTCAGTGATTTAATTATAATTTCAGCAACAGTTAAAACTGGTCTGGACAACGATGAGATTGCCGGTGCTGTTGGCGGTGCATTTGTCGTCATCTTGTGGGCAGCCGTGGTCATTATACTTATATTTGTAATCTGGAGGTACGTTTTACACACTAGAAGCCGTTTGACCTTTTGTTCCTTTAATAGATAGAGAGCAAAGTACACACTTGAAGCCTTTTGACCTTTTTTCCCCCTTTGATAAATGAAGAGCAAAGTCAGTTTATTCTATAGAACGCCGCATTAGTGTTGTATAAACAATTAAATTACCGCTGTAATAATAAAATGTTATTAGATTAATTGATCTGGAGTGTTTACGGACTACAGCCAGTTTTCGTGAACACACCAAGGCTAATCAACATACCAAAAATCGTTATTAAAATGCCATTCCATTCCAACATTATATTTAAGCAAAAAAATGTTTGTAAAAGTGATCGAAGGCATGATATTCGGTTTTATTAACACCGCCCACATTGCTATTATGCTAATTTAATTATAATGTTCCTAGATATGTTAATTAGACACTGTTTCTGAAATTGAAAACATATTTCTCTGGTTCTCGAATATGCAAGCCAGAAATAACTTTAAAGCAGCACTCCTTCAGAGTTTAGTTGATATTCACGAAATCTTAAAAAAAATTCAAATGAGAAAAAATATGTTGTCAAGTGTACAATTTCATAAAATTTTACATGGCCTAAGGTAATTATTTTCAACAGATATTACCTAAAACTAGCAAAATGCAAACATGTCTCTGAATCCGTTACTGATAATCTTAGAATCGTAGTGAAAAACTATGTAAATTGATTTATTTTCTTTAAAATTTGATAGATGATGTAGAAAATCGATCGTTTTCTTCTTGAACATTTAATGTTTAGATATTACACATAATAAAGTCTATAACTGTGAAAAAATATACTTTTTCACAAGGAAAATAATTATTTAAAAAATCAAACACAGGTTTTATTTTCATGCAAAATGTTAATTATATTCCAGTTTATTATATACTTATAAATGAAATATTGAGAAATATTGATGAAATAAAATGCGTATTTTTATTTTCCGTATTTTCACTGTTAAAAATATTGTTCACTGCTGTGAGTCATGCTATCTGTCTTGCCGGACTTCTTCCTATTCATAAGTTTAAAAATAGAAAAAGTATTCAATGTATAATAAACAGAAAATTAAAGTTTTTTTCTATTAATACAGGATATATTTTCATGTTGTAGTATGAAAATTATTATATTTCACTCGAGACTATTTAAATATCCTCTATGTATAACATCTATGCGGAGAGCTCATTTCGATACGAGTGAAAATTCTCATTTTTTCGCAGTTCCCGCGAGATTTGATATCATTCAACCAAAAAAATATCATATATCAATGCTTTAATGTACATTCATATTTAAACTTTCAAATTATTTTGTTAAAAAAATTATCAATCTGATAAATAAAGTCTGCAGTTCGAAAGCCTTTAGAAGTAGTTCTAGAGATGAAATATGTTTGTATTGTGAAGTATAACTCTGTATAGGTTGCATTGTATTTACATTGGTTTTAATTTGGAACATGCCTCAGTATATCAAGACATGCAGATTCTTCAAAAATCCACTTGAAAATAATAATTTAATCATGTTTAGACATTTCAAGATGTTTTGCGTTAACTATCATACATTTCCATCTTCTTCAATTCAATTAACTAAGTTCAAACAGTGTAGGAAGCTATAAACGGCTTCCGGTTTAATGCCTCCTTATATTGAAGATGAAAGCATAGTTCCATGTTATATTTCTAAAGGCTATAAAATATACACTCATTCTTCTGTTGCCAAAAGAAAAAATCTGATTTGTTTTTGGAGAATTGGAATGATAAGGCTTCTTTTAAAATAACAGGCTTTTAAACTTGCTTTTTATGTCTGAAATAACGTGTTAACGTGTTAAATATACTTCTCTCAACTAAATGATATAATGGAATGCCCGATCCATCTGCCGACTCAAAATGAAAAACTGCTTTTTGAAATGGATTGGTCTACAATGTGCACATTTTTTCAAAAAAATATTTTAAATATTGATAAAAATAATAGAAAATTATCATTTGGATATTCTTACGAACAAAAAATGTTTATATAGGTCTAGATTATTTAATATGAATTTATATCATGAATTACTAATATTTTCTTCCAGAACATTTTTATTATCAACATCCTCATATAACCTGTTCATGTTTTTGTTACCCCACATGATACTTAATACTAAAAACATAAATATGTATTGTATTTCATACTTTCTTCCATCATACACCAATTTTCGTTAAATGTCCTTTTTGGTTGCAATAAAATTGTAAAAAAAAAACAAAGAAAAACAAAACAATGATCAAACAAACAAACATTATTTGAAGTATAGTAGCAACTAAGCTACATTTAGGTGCATATAATTCTCAATTTTAAGTATATTGCTTTTCGTTCTTTTCAAATTTATTAATCAGACTAGTCTCACTGTGCTTGCCCCTCACCACAGTGATTTCGGATCCCGCCAGGGATGAAGGCTTCTTTCATGTGAGGAAGCTATCGAGTTACCTTACGTAACGTCGGTCCTTCTACTCAGGTTCCCGTTGGTGCACCTCCTACAGTAAAGTTGAATTGGTGTGACGTTTAATGTCTGAAAACTAAGTAGGACTTTACATGTCCTAATTAGAAGTTTTAAAAGCTTATTAGGAGAAACAAAATTCTTATTTGTTCTTTATATAAAATCTTAATAAGAAGTTTCATAGTTCAAATAAGGCTGCTTATTTTATATTTTGACTTTTGAAGCGCCTCTTTAGGACTGAGAAAGTCCTAATTTAGATTCCATTTCTTAACTCTTCATAATATTTTTTTTTATTTCTCCGTATTTGGTTTTTATTAACAAAGTTGTAAATTAGGTTTCTGAGTTAAACTTTCTAATTAGTTGTAACTGGAAGAAACAAAGTTATATCAATGTCCTAATTAGTCTTTTGTAACTCCTATTTCTTATAGAAGAAGTCCTTATTAGGCTATTAAAATTCGTAACTAGAAGTAACAAAGTCCTAATTAGGCTTTTAAAACTCCTAATTACTAGTTAATTAATTTTTAAGAACATTAACATATTAATAATTTTTCACGAGACGGTTGCGTATCAAAACGCTTTTGAAAACGTTGACATTATATTAGAAGTTTTCGACCATGCGACCACATACATGCATCGAGGACATGTTGTTAGGAAAGTGACCGTGCCATCACAATATTCCCCTTATCTTGCGAAAAGGAGACAAAGAGTTGTCCGCCCTTTTATCAAGGGCAGACTTGAAAATCATGCCATTTCCTTATTATTATTATTGACAAGGAGGCTATTTTTCACAGTTATGTCTTGAATTGGTTTATATACTACATTAATAACGCAAACCAAGCGGGTGAACAGTGAACGTCCTTTTAAGTTCGCTTTGAGATTTTCAAAAGATCATATATCATTTCTTGAAAAATAATGACTTTGCATTTTTTTCCACTTTTCATTCTGTGTATATTAAAGAATTACTTTATTTTTGCAAAACATGAACGTATCAAAAACGTTTTATATGCATTGCATATGGGAGATATATTTTACATTTTGTTTGCAAATATTAACCTGGGGGCATTTTTGCCAAAGTAAGCATTTAATAATTTCTTTACTCGACTTATCCTACTTGTAATATAAAAGGTAATGTGATGGGCTGCAAGAAAAAAAGTAGATTAAACTGGAGCAGCCGACAATTCTGACGCTGAAGAAGTGCTGAATTTGTAAAATGCGCCTTTCAAGCTTCAATTTTTTTTTAGAAAGTCAATCAATCTTGGGATATCAAGATATAATTTCTAGTCGGTCAGTCATAAGTTACAGTGCATCACTGTTCATGTCCCTGCACGGATTTGCAGCACTAGACATGAATTGCATATCTCATTAAAATCTGTTTCAAATTCATTTTTCGGTTAGTTCCAGTCATTGGACATTAATTTGCACTGCAGATCATTCAATAGTTATTAAGCATTCTTTATAACAGTTTTTTCATACGTTTTAATGTCTATGTTAACATTATGTTAGCATTAAGCATATACGCCTTCTAATACTAGTCAATTATTGTTTTATTATCTATAGATGGAAAAATTACAAAGCGAAGAAACATTTTTTAATGAAACAAAGTCAACGTTATTTGAAATCAAACGAAGTGCATCAAGCAAATGCCATTTCACATTACATGAAAATATGAGGAATAACCTACGTCTGTGAACTAAACAGTGAGTGGCATAACTTTGAAAGACCGGTGGGGACATTTCAACATCATAAATTCATGTTTAGAACTTTACGATTTATGAATTTATTTAGCATTTCTTTTCTGACATAAATATCTCGATCCTTCGGTATATACTCTCGATCCGATCACATTTGCATTGACGTTTTTTTTCTTATTTTAATATGTGATATACGCTAATAATTTTTTTTTATAATATTCAAGTAAAATCATGTTTACCAAAAACAGAGGGAGCAAATTTTTACCATACCATTTCGATAACTTAGCATTAAAAAGAAAGAAAAAACTAGGTCAGCTTTCTCAAAAATTAAATGTTTACATTTAATTACATAGTTAACATCAATAGAACAGTTCCAATAGCCTTAATGTGTCTGAAAGCCGAAGCCAATCCAATGTATTCTCATTTACCACGTCGTTCATCACGTGTAAAAACGGAATGATTGATCGGTTTCGCCTGCAATTTGACTAAAAAGCGTCTTACGAAAGTACTGATTAACAATGATTGCTTTTTCCCCCACAAGTTATTTGCATAATACATGTCACTTTGTCGTTAATATATCACTCTTTTCCAAGACTTTTAATCAGCTTTCAGTGGTTCTGAGGAACTTATTCGTTTCATTTTTTCTCTTGATCGGTGCTTCATAGGTCAGACTCATTTATACACAGTGTTTAGGCTATCGCCCTGAAGTTCAGCAATGTGTGCATGTGCAATATAAGCAATTTTATATTATGTGCCCTCGGGTATTTTGCACGCGCATCCTTGGCAACAAGTGCACGTGCATTTTGTCAATAATGTACATGTAATATGTTCACGCGCAATATTTGTGACATGTTCCCGACACGGACAGTATTTGCACCACGTGTGCAGGCACTTATAGTATTTGCAGAATGAGAATACAGACAGTATACATCTGCAGAAATTGCAGTCTGTGCACACGCATTATTGGCAATAACTGTGCAAATAATATTTGCAATATGTGTACCGCTACACACCTCATTATTGGCAAAAAGTGCACGCACGTAGTATTCACAGTATGAGATACGCATTATTGAAATATTTGCGAGCCAGTATTGGCAATAGTTGCACAAATGACATTTCTTGAATTGTCCCACTAAAAAATGTATTTACAGTAGTTTCGTGTTTGTGCTCCTTTACATCCCCTCCCCATCTCCTTCTCTTCTCTTGTCTCATTTTAAGGGCCATTTCCAATATGTTATATGCTTAAGATTTCTCAAAATTAAATTATCTACTTGTCCATGTCCGTAAGATGATTTAACCTTTTTGGTCTTGGTGCTACTTTAATGTTTTTGTTGTTGTTGTTTTGTTTTGTTTTGTTTTTTTTTCCCTCAAACACAAACAATCTGGCATTGCTTATCTTCATACGTTATCAATTACAAGTACACATATTGAATAATGACTCCGAAAATGGCTGCCACTTGTTGTCAAGGGAGCTAACTATTGTAGAACCAATATCGCTTATTGAGTTATAAGGTCTTTAAAACGTTTCTTTCTGTCTTAAATTAAGGAGACGTTTAAAAGACTATGAAGTATTCAATAGAAACACCAACTTCTCCAACGATTCAAACAGAAGTTCTAGCAGACGACGTTTACGGCGGCAAAGTAGCAGTTCGTCTGTCAGTGGAACAGCTAACCATGTATTAGCAGAAGAACAATTAAATGAAGGCCAGGTATTTACGAACATTGAATTTCTTATACTTTTTATTGTTGCTATGGTAACGGATTTCAGGTGTTTCCTTATAAAATATTTTACGTTTGCTGCTAAGATTTTTAGACGAAAATATCGTTTGGTATTCATTGAGGCGTCTGCTTCTATTTATAGGCGGTCTAATGCAGGAAACTCTTTGTAAGGTATGACCAAAATTTGAACTTCGCACCGGGTATGGCTTTTGATATCTTTTAAAAGAAGATGGCGTCTAAGAATAGTCAAATGATATATCTATTTATATATTCACGCCTGTTTGTAGATTATATGTTTACGACTGTGTCAAATACATGCATAGATTTAAAGGAACTCCACTGAGGTCAAAAAGCCGAAAACACAAATAACTTCTTAAATAGATTAGCTTGGACACTTAACAACATAACGATATGCAATAGATACTAAAGACATATACTCAGAAAAAAATGAAATCAAATTTTTGTGCCTTTCTCAGCCCGATTTGAGTGAAAACCTTTGAGTGAAAACCGTTGCAACGCTTTTAAAATTTGGATCTTTTTTCACAATTACATGTAGATTAACTTTTCAGGAAAATTTCTGAAATTTCATCACCATATAAATAACTACATTTTGTATTTTACAATCCATACGCAGAAAATACATAGCTTGCTTTATACACTATGATAAACGGGCAACAAATTTTGCCCTGAGCCTCACTAATCTGGTTAGTAAGTTGTTGTTTTTTCCGGTTATTGAACAACCAATATCAGCGTTTACATTGCAAAATTGACATTTTTTTAACCATTTTTACAAGGCAATTATTACAATATTGAGTTAGGTATTTGGAATCTGTTTACCAAACTCTGGAATGCGTTTCGTAAATATGAGAAATGTGTATGCTTATTTTAATAATTCAATGCACTGATCGAACTCGCTTACACAGTATGGTTCACAATTATAGATTTTAATAATGGAAACAAGCTCATCCGAGTTTGCACTGAACAGTTCATTTGTTGCTTTTTCTGTTTTTGTATCTGTATGTTTTCTGCATGAAAAGTTTGCTGTCATCTGGTACACATCCACAGTGCTAATTATGTAAATGCATTAAAAGATTAAAAGATTCGTTATGCCATACAGGGATAAAACAACACTAAGTTAATACTGATTACTGTCAGCAGATTCGAATGTTTCGTACTTTTTTTTAAAGTTATTTATTATTATTATTTATTCATTTATTTATTTTATTTTTCTTATTTATCTTATTATTTATTATTATTATTTATTTATTTTAGTTTTCTTATTATCAAATTATTGATTATTATTATTACTATTTATTTATTTATTTATCATTATTTTATTTATTTATTTATTCATTATTTATTTATATATATATATTTATTTATTTATTTTATTTTTCTTATTTATTTACGGTATTTATTTACGGTATTTATTTATTTACGGTATTTATTTATCTATTCATTTACGGTATTTATTTATTTATTTATGTACGGTATTTATTTATTTACGGTATTTATTTATTTATTTATTTATTTACGGTATTTATTTATTTATTTATTTAAAAGGTAATGAAAACTACTTAAATATCCTGTATGTTGTAATTCAGGTTGTTACCACAATTAAGTGAAATTTTATATATGTATATAATTATGTATCTAAAACAATATTCAAACATCGAAGAATATGTAAAATACATACTGCAAATATTTGCACATATTACACGTAATGTAATCATTAAAATATATGCATTCATTTCTTATTGAAAAATCTGACTAAGACTATAGAAAATTAATTTCTAATTACCTCCCTTTATTAAAATGAAATGTAAATTTCTTTACAAATAATGCATTTTCAAAACTTACAATATTTATAAATCTTTATTTGAGCATTATATTTATGATATAAAACCATAAAATATTGAGTTATAGGATCTTTAAACGTCTGAAAACCTTTGATACTACTATATTTTCTTCTTATATTTTTGTTGAATTCATAACGCACTTTGTACATATTTACCATTCATCAAATAGTTAAATATACATGTAAAACGAAACATAAGTAAGATTTGCTGGCACGAACAGCCCTTTTCAGGGCTACCCTTTCATATTGTCTCAGGTTACTGTACATTTAGGTTCTCATTGACCGCCGTACAGTGACTTATTTTTTGGCTCAAAATTAATATCTTTGGCTAATACTCCATGGAAATTGCATGGAGGTACCAATTGTGCTTTAAAATTAACTCTATAAGGGCTTGATTGGTGACATGTCCGGGGTCTGTCCTCGACAGCGAAAGCTGCATTTGTGCCTAAAAGGGCGGATGGACACTCATCAAGCATAAACTACATACATACACATATATACTTAAGTTAGAGGAGTATAAGATAATTTACCTCGTAAAGATTTCGTTTTCTGTCGTTGTTGTTGTTTTATTCGGGATATTGGTCCAGTCTTTTGGCTTGTTGTTGTTGTGTGTTTTGTTGTTTTTCTCCCCGATTTATCACATCACACATCCGGTCAAATTCTTCATAACAAATTTGAGAACACATTCCATTCCCCTACATTGGATCTAAAGAAAAGACAAACATGTTTCTAACCCTGTGTCATTTCATTTTCAGAGTCTGGTACCGTTGCATTACAACAGGCATAGACCACTGCACGGGAAACGGTCGGTGACCTTTGACACGGACTCGCCTGAACACTGCACGTGCACTTACGGTGGATCATCGCGCGACTTTTATGTGTGTCAAGGCGCGGATGCGGGTAATATAGACTACGAACAAGATTTACAAAATCATTTGCACGAGTTTCACGTGCATTTTACAAATGAGCACCAGGATAATTTACACCCAGCAAGGAGGGCTTCTTCGGAAGGGGATTTAAGTGAATTATCAGCGGTGTGGAAGCCTATACGATATTGATTAGCGTAACTTATAATGTTGTTTCCGTATTAACAAATATTTTTTTGTATGGAAAAAGTAACATTTTTATATACTGATAAGGACATATTTTTTGCTCAGATGTTTTTTGAATTCAAGGAGTCTTATAATTCATTCCGTGAATATAGATATTTTTCGTGTTTCTTGTATTGAGTGGGAATTAGATGGATATGATAGGTGTGTACCAAAGCTCCTGATGAGGCGATTAAGGGGTAAGCTGTAGAAGTTCACAATGAGGCAAAGAAGGGGTAATATTCAGAATTAAAAGGAGAGAAATCTATAAACCCATAGAGATATCCATCTTTAATTTGGATAAAACTAATTATTATTTGTCGGGGAAATTGGTAATCATTTACTTACTGAAAATCGAACAGTGCAGACCATGATTAGATAGGAAGGATGTACCGGCAGATCTTTGTGTGCACTGGTTGAATGAGTAGAAATTATTGCCGCTAGAACGATAAAGGCTAACATGGTCCAAATTTCCTTTATTTCAATCTGATTTGCATATTGAAGTATGTTATTCATTGTTCTCGAATGGTATGAATAAGGTATGTTGAAATAAAAATGAAAAATATAACAGCTTTTTTCAGTGTCTTTAGTTCATACATAAGAAATCTTTCGGTGCATAAGTACCGTAATAGTAATATTAATATTACTCTAGCCTCAATATAAGATACGACAATGACGTCAAAATACGTCATGTGAAATTGACATAGGCTGACACGTCACAAAACTATCAAATTGAACGTGACAACATTGAAAATATATGTACATGTATATAATAACATCAAAAACATATAATTTGTCACATAAACATCAGAATGGATGTGACAATGTTACGAAATATTACGTCACACAAACCTCAAAAATAAATGTTACATTGACATGTACAAGTTACATGAAAATAATTGTGACTCTTATGGAAACAGATGGCAATAGAACCAAAGTACTGGTGAAATACTTATTAACATGGCCGTGACCTGAGTAAGCCGCGAACCATTCATCCCAGGGCCGAGAGGCACTTACCTTAACCAATACTCAACTCTCGCCTTTAAACATGATGTCAAAGGCCAAAAGGCTTAAAAACATAAAATTTTAATATCTTACATAAATTAAGTGCAGCACGTACGAGGGGCATAATTATATTAATAAGTGGCAGCGCATTTTTATAAATAAGACTTACCTGTGAAAAAATGATTAGTAGAGTCCTTCATAATTTCCACCTTAGGACAGCTATACACTTTTCCAACCACATAATCCATTCCGAAAGAGCATTTTGAGTCGTTATTTGCGTATACTGTTTATACACTGGTAGAGACGGTCCTACGGGTTTCGAACCGGCGACCGCGAATGAATAATTTGTTGTATGGATTTAACAAAAAGTCACAAGGAGAGAGGTCAGGACTATAAGCAGGATGTAGCAAAACCTCCATTCTCTGCTCCTCTAAATTAACTTGAACAAAGGCTTGCCGGTGCGCATGTGCATTATCATGGTGTAATTTGATTATCCGCATCCCGATCTTTGGGTTCTTTGTAATGTAGTGATTTACTGTAGCAGTGAGAACATGGTCTCGGTAAAATGTTCCAGTGACACTCTCCTCCTTAGACACAGCGACACGGGCCACTATTCCATCACTGTCAAAAAAATAGAGCGTACATTACTCTTTCAACGCTCTTGCTACGTCGAGCAACAATCGCTGTTTTCACCTACCCACATTTTGTTACTGAGATTTTGTTGGGCTCAAAAAAATAAAGCCACGTTTCATCCTCTGACACAATGTCTTTCAGATGTCTAGGGTCTCACCCATGCAACTCAGCCGTGTTTACAACCAGTATAGAAAGCCACATGTATGTAAATGACCTGCTAAATTTGTATTGCACGTGCAAATCGTGCGAAAATAGACTGTTGGTTAGAAAAATCAATAATTTTTCCAACGGTATTTTATACAAGTACTTTCACGTGCAAATCATGGTTAAATTGGGTTGTTGCCACTAATTAAAATATGCCCCTCGTAAAATAGGTATATGTACATGAGATAATACAGAAATATAATCAGAATTAAATCAAATATCGATTTTTGTGAAATTCTTAGCCCAATTTGAGCGAAAACGCATTCTTTTTTTTCTTTTGGGGAGGGGGGGGGGCAGTATTGCACAATGAAAATGATTATTATTCTGGAATAACGCAAAGAAGATATTGGTCATGACCTACACCAAAATGTGTCTAAAATCATTAGAAATGCACGAGTGAAATATATTTCATATATTCTATAACCAAAAGAAAAGTTAAATACTAAAATTGTCTGGATAGACATAAAGAGGACAGTCAAAACTTCTTGGAAACTTCCGTTGTCAACTGGGATTCAGTTTTTTTTCGTACTGTCTGCTCAATAATTAGGGCAATACATTCATGGCTTAGCGTTGTATTTACATACATATTACAAATTAGTTATTCTGAGATCTCCTGGTACCATAACAAATTATTCGGACATTTCAGAAAGCCAGCTTTAATCGAAAGATTAAAATAATACTGAATAATATGACATCTATATTTAGAATTGTAAATGGGGAGCATTTTTTCTATCGTATTTTCAGAGACTTATACACGTATAAATATAGCTCTTATTTATCCCCTGTGCAAATCACGGACGCTATGCTGTCATGAATATGCTTATTAGTTCATTTTTCAATGTGGACTTTACCATTTATCATTCTTACACAAAAAAAAAATCAAAATAAGTATTGCTTGGCGGATATGTCTCGTAACGTCAGGAGGTAAAAATAATCTTATCAAGAACGTTATGGCCCTTTAAACTATCAAAATATCCATGTTTTGCAGTGACTGCATATAATCAATTTCATTTTTACCCGATTTCAATAGAGCTTTCGCAAAACATTTATATTTTTCAAAGATTCTTTTTACCGATCAATACGGAAGATTGAAACAATGATGGAACTATAGCCTAAATAAAGGCTGTTTAAGGTGTAATAATCTCGATCTCACATTTATAATTGTTTTGTAACAATGGTATAAGGCGTCATTGTCTAAGTGATTAGGTACATGTGGACAAGTGATTAAGGTACATGTAACTGACTTCAAATCTCTTGCCCTCCACCGCCGTTGCTCCGAGTATCGCCGGAGAGTGTGAGGACCCTGTCCAGCTTATAACTCCCAGAAAGTCGGTGCATGGTTGTACTCAGCTGCCCGTTCGTGTCTGAAATAAGGCACGGAGCGGCACCAGTCTCCCCTCACCAATTCCACTGGAAAGTCGTCATTTGACTTTTACACTAGAAGTGTGGCTTAAAATCCAACAAAACAAACAGAAATGGACACACAGGACGTAGGTGATTCATTAACGAAGCTAAAGAGACTGGCACGGAACAGCAATAAAATTGATATGGGGTTAGGATAGGCAGCAAATAGCACGTGTATTGTTTGAAACGGTGTCACGGGAATCAAATACAAGAGCCAAGACTCGAAACGTTCCAAGGGAGGTAAAAAGAATAACATTTCGGAACGTCAGGGGAGATAACAATAATATTTTGGGCCTTAGTATTATTTAAAAATGGTATTTTAGGTCCCAGATAGAGTAAACATGTATTTAGTATTAAAAAAAATCTGGGACTTAGAATAAGATAAAATAACACGCACTAACACAATTTAAAGATATAAAGTTTTATTATTAAAATAGTTCTTTTATAAATATGAATATGCTAAAACAATAATTAAGGCATGATGAAGAATAATGTCACAATTAGACCAATTATTCAAATATATGATTATTACGTCATGCTTTCATTATTCATTCTATTATTCATCAAAAGTAGAACATAATTATTACAGTTGTTATGAAAATATCAATTACTCAATTCTCTTGCGTCATTGGAAAAAAGGCTACAATCAGATATTAAATTCAGTCATTCATTCCACATGGTCTCAGATCAGTTATTAAAGTTCATTATGCATTGTAAATCATTCATGTAGTGAAAAATTCAATTATTTAATTCTAAAATTCAGTGAATAAATGTCTCAGCTCAATTATTCCATTGAACATAATTCTCAAATCAATTATTCTATTTTATTTCTTATTAGACCATAAGGGAACATCCGTTGCTAATGTTGACAACCTTTTTGCCAAGTTATGTCAGTGTATTATAACTGTCTTTACATGTATGTACATTTTCCTTTTTTGTGATAAAACATGTTTCAATAATAGCAATTGGACATAAGTCTCAGATGCATTATTTAATTATTCATTGGTCAAAAATATCATATCATCAATTGTATTCTTTTATTCACTACACAAAAGGCTTGAATCAACTGGTCAATTTGATTATTCATAGGAAGAAATGGAACTCAAAACAATTATTCAATTCATTTATTCACGTGACACGTTCAATGCTCAGATTTATTGCTCCAGGTTGAGTTTCATAGAAAGTCCAAAGTCTGAAATCAGTCTTAGGACCGAACCTAAGACAATTTAAAATCAGTCATAAGACCAAAACTAAAATAATTTAAAACAAAGACAATGTTTTGTTTCAAACAGAATGTCCCAACTTATAACCCCCATTTTATGTATTGCTGATTAAAAGCAGGAGTAATTGTACTTCTTCACTTTTCTAGGGAAAAATCAAATTTATTAAAGGAACTCCACTGAGGTTCAAAAGCTGAAAATATTGAATTTAAATTTTTGACATAGAGCAGCTATGGCACCTAAAACATATTTTTTTGCAAAAATAATTAAGAAATATACCCAGAAATAAAAAGAGAAATTGTATTTTTGTGCTCCTACTAGTCTGATTTGAGTGAAAAGTGTTGCAACTGTCATTTTCCTCAATTAGAATAATTATTCTGGAAAAACAGGGTAAGCAAATGTTCTGAAATTAAGCACATAAGTTAATGGTCTAGACCTAAATTAAATCACGGATTTATGTAATGTAAATCCGTGATTAAATGGAACATTAATCTTGAAAAAAAAATTCCTGTCCCATCATGTCAAAAAAGCCTCAGTGGAGTCCCTTTAAAGCCTAATGTCATTGACCTGATGAAAATGTTTCTTGAAACAGCATTAACATAATCCTAAGTTCTAGGACTTAAGATACACTTGGGACAATCTATGAAACACAGTTCTGATATTTTCATTACAAAAAAAAGTCTAAATTAGTAAAGCATGGCTCAGTAATTCAACTTCTTACTGCCCCTCCAAGTAACTGTTTACGCAATTTTATTATTTGTTCATCAGCATATAGTACAAGTACGTAACAAAACATCTTCATTTTGCAAAGCATCTGTCAATGCACATAACCTATAATGTACATACATTACATTCAACTCCAAATATCACACTTCTAAAATGAAATAAAATGAGATTTCAAAAGCAAAATATCATATAGATCTACTCGTATAAAATCAAAATGAAGCTAAATAAATATAAGTGTAAAATAAAAATATTCTCAATGCATTTCTTTACGATTTTCCTGCTTGTACATTATAACAGAAACAGAATTCGCTAAACTCTTTAAAGCTGCATGCCTCCAGATTTGTGCTTATTTTCATGAAAAATGTTATATCTTTTT